CAGTCCAGGCCTTCGCCCCGTGATTAAACCCAGGCCCTGTGGGTGCGGAGCTAACAGACCCACAGAGCTTCGTCCAGCTGGCCCATTCTGTCAGGGGTCAGGGGAAGCCGATAGGGACCCTTTGCATGAGGGTGCACCCCATGCAGTCTCAGGTGTGAAATTCTGGCCCTCCAGAATCTCGGGTCTGCCTGCTTCCTCCCTGTGGCCTGGCTGTGGCCTTCGAGAAAGCTGTTCTCTCTGCTTTCTGGCAGTGGGATCCCGGGGGAGGGCTTAGCTCCCAGCCTCCCTCCCTCCTTCTGCCGTGAAGTGCTGTCTCTCTCTTGCCCTGGAACGTGAACAGCAGTTCTAGGAATGTTGATGTCCCTGCATGCCTGCCAAGCCTAGGTCCCTGTTGTTCCTAGGATGCCTGGCCAGCAGCAGCTGGTGGGAAGCTCAAGGCGGAACATCCTGTCCCACACTCCCCCCTGAACTTCAGGTGGTGGGGCACAGCGGCACATGCCTGGCATCCTGGCCGCTCTGAAGCCCGAGGCAGGAAGGTCACCAACTGTAAACCCAGCCTGGGCAGGAGGTTTTGTTTCCCTCTGTGGTGTTAGAAATTGAATTCAGTGCCTTTTACAGGATCTCCTTAAATTGGTAAGGTGCTGTCACAAAACTTGCCATCTGCGTGCCTCAGCGTTCCAAGGGCTAGGATTACAACTATGCACCAATGTGCTGGCTCATACTTTATTCAAAGAGCAAAGAATCCATTTTGTGGTGCTGGGGATCAAAGCCAGGGCCTTGTGCATGCTAGTAAGTATCCTACTCAGCCTTCAGAAGACTCTTGGTATTTGTTATTAAATCTTCATAACACTCCTTGAAGGTATGCACCTCTGTCCTCTGCTCCCCTTCTGTCCATTCCAGGGCTTTCACACGAGCTATGGTACTTCCTAGCATTTTTAAAACTTGGGTGGTTGGTTGGTTGGTTTGAGACCAAGTCTCAGCCTCTCAAGTGCTAGGATTCCAGGTGTGCGCCACCATACTCTGCATGGATTTCATTCTTCCTCTTGTAGTGGAGAGTGAAACCATGACTTGGAGTTGGGGGACTGATATGTGATGACCCTGGGTTGAGCCCAGATTTTACATTAAGCACCTGCCAACACAATCCTAAAAATAGACATGGTATGGCTGGTGCTTTAAAAATAGAGGGAAGATTCTAGTACACGTCTCTTGTTTCACAAGTGAGAGAACCGGACCCTCAGGCATGATGGCAAGCCTTTTAGGTGCTTTCTGTGTTACAGACAGTGCTGCTGCTGCCTGTAGGTTGGCTCCCACTGCCCTAGGGAGGGTATGTATTGCTATAGGCAAACTGTCATCAACGAAAAGCACATCCTGAGAAAAAATGCTCTCCTCTATTAGATGTCCCTCTGAGCTAGAAGTCCCACACAACACAGCCACCCAAATTCAAGTTCACAGTAGCTTTTGGATTTTTGAAGGAAGGATAAAAGTAGGCTCAGCATTCCTCTCCTAAGTCTGTTTTTGTTTTGGGTTTGGGTTTTTTTGAAACAGGGTCTCACAATGTAGGTCAGGCTCACCTTGAACGCACTGTATATCCTACGCTGGCCTTGAATTTATGGTGATCCTCCTGCCTCAACGCTGGGGTCACAGGTGTGCAGGTGTGCGTCACTTCATTTGCCCTTTTTCTTTTCTCTTTTTTCTTTTCCCTTTTTGATACTGGCCATTTAACCCAGTCCTCCCCCCACCCCCTTTTTAGGCACGGTCTTGCTAAGTTGTCCAGGCTAGACCTGAATTTGTAATTCTCCTGCATCTCCAAAGTTTTCTTATCTGCTGTCTAACTTACCCCAGCTCTGAAATTGGTTCTCGGCGTGTGATGGGTCACACGTCCTCCCCCAGCAGCATGGATGGCGTAGCTCCTCTCAGCTTTGGTCCTGATCCACACCACTGTGGCACAGCAGGCAGAAGTGCTGGCCTCCCGGGAGCTGACAGCACTAGCAGCTGGGTTTGGAGACTGGGTTAGAAATGCTGTAGCAGGGTCAGTCTGGGTATGGGGGCGCACGCCTGTAATCCCAGCACCTGTGGCTGAGACAGCACAGCTACCCGGAAGCTTAAAGTTAGCCTGGACTACAGAATACACAGTAAGACCTTGTCTCAAAACAAACAATAAAAAATGATAGGCCCAGCTGTTCTTCACAGGCAGTTCAGGACAGAAACCCAAAGAGGCGCCAGAGCCCAGTGACACAGAAGGTTTGAGGCTTGGGGTAGGATGACATGATCCCCATCTGCTCTGGGTCCCCTCCAGTGCCAGGCATCCTCCACCTACCCTTTGGCTGATCTGACTCTAAACTGCTGTGGGAAATCTCAAAGTTGCAGCGATGACATGTCAGCATGCAGTCCCAGCTACTTGGGAGCCTGTGGCAGAGAATCACTTAGGCATTGGACCTTGAGGCCAGTGGCCAGAACCACATAGTAAGACCGTCTCCAAAGCGGGGGTGGGAATCAAATCCAACACTTAGAGGAGGCACAGCTGGAGGATCTGACCACCTCACCTTTTCCGTGGAACTGGGCCCAGAACCCAGGGCCTCTGCACTGAGCTACATCCCCAGTCCTTTTCTTAATTCTAAATTGAACACTGAGATATAGTCTCACTAAATCACTAGGTTGCTGAAGCTGGTTGCATCTTGAGATCGTTCTGCCTCAGCCGCCCACAGTTCTGTTCCACTGTGCCTGGCTACAGCTGACCTTCTCACTTGCCAAGTATGATCCCTGCCACAGAACAAGGACAGACATTATTCTGTTTCTTAAACTGTTCTGTTCTTGGAACCAAAATCTCAAAGTTTCAAAGATTTTAAGAGCAAAATTTGAGATGCAGAAAGATTAGAAATAATTCTTAAGCACGTATTTTTATACCAGTGAGGCAACTAATATTAAAACAAAATCTTTTTTTTTTTTTTTTTTTGCTACTGGGAATCAAACTCACAACCTTGCGCTTGCCAGGTAGGTGTTTAAGCCACTGAGCTAAATCCCTGGTTGCCAACAAAATCATTTGTGGAAATTCTTAATACTCTGGGAAAGAGTCAGAACTCACACTAGCTTTCTAGTTCAACATATTCTTTGCACACACATCAACAAATGCTTATTCGGAATCCACTATGTCATGGCGCCAAATATACAGATGCAAACAAAAATCTAATATCCCTAACACCTTGAAGTGAAGAAGAAAATGTGAAGGACATTAGTGTACCTGATCCAAAAGCCCAAATTTGGGTAATCTTCGGGGTCTTTGCTCCCTGGATCGGGGTGCTCCTTTACCAAGAATACATCTCTTTCTTTACTCTGAAAGGAAACAGCATATTAGCATTAATGGAACTCTTACACAGATGATCAGCCTCCAACCGAAAAGTCAGTCTCCAAAGACAGCGCTATTACAGAATCACTGCGTGACTGTCATGGTCGGTACCTACGTGTCCACCAAAGCCTCATGGTTTGTGGGGTGGGGGGTCTTTTGGGAGGTGACTGAGTCGTGGGTGTGTGACACTCATTGCTGGATCAGTACTGGGTTTACACCTGGGTGTGACACTGGGCGGCAAAGCCTGGTAGAAAGAGGTGGGTCGATGTGGCATGGCCTGGTAGGCCTTCTGTCCTGGTGCTGTGAGCTTTCTCCTCTGCCAGGGCACCCCCCCTCAGAACCAGCCGACTGCACTGAGACCCCACACTGAGCCAAATAAACCCTTCCTTCCTTAACTGGTGGGGTCGCGCATTTTGTGTCCCAGCGATAAGAAAGTGACTACAGCAGTGATCATTAAAAATGTAAAAAAGAGAAACAGGCAGCCTTCATCACCCTCACCTGTCCTCCCACCCCACAGATAAGCACCAACGGCTGGCTGCTGACTCCTCCCCAGATGCTCTCATTTGTTTGTTTATTTATTTTGGGTTTTTGTTTTTGGTCTTTTTGAGACAGAGGCTTGCTGTGCAGTTCAGGCTAGGATGGAGCTCACTTTGTAGCCTGGGCTGGTCTCAAAATTGCAGCAGTCCTCCTGCCTCAGCCGCCCAATGCTGGGATGGCAGGTGTAAGTCGTCATGTCTGGCATTGTTTTAATTTTTGTTGTTGTTTTTGAGACAGGGTCTTACTATATAGTGTAGGCTGACATTGAACTCAGGCAGTTCTCCTGCCTCAGTCTCCTGAGTGCTGGAAGGGATTACAGGTGTGGGCCACCATGCTCAGCTTTTGTTTGTTTCTTTAAAACAGGCTTGGACTTACGGTGGTCCTTCTCCTCAGTCTCTCAAGTGCTGGCTACCATGCCTGGCCGGCTCACTGATCTGTAAAATGGGGTTAAAGATGCCTATTCTGGCCAAGCTTGGGGACACGTGCCTGCAATCCAACCATTCTGAAGGCTGACGCAGGAAGAATAAAGTTTAAACCCAATCCCGGCAACTCAGCAACTTGGTGAGACCCTGCCTCAAAATAAAAGGCTGGGGATCTTTGAGTTGTATCTGAGAGCAAAGGCTCTAGGGTCAATCTCCAATATCCCTCTTCCCAAAATACCTGTTTGTATAGGTGTAGTACAGTGCATATCTGTAATTCCAGCTCCTCAGGAGGCTGGAGCAGGAAGACTACAAGTTTGAAACTAGTCTGGGCAACCTAGCAAGATCCTGTGTAAAGGAATCAAAAGCTAACTCACTAATGAGATGGAAAAAAAAAAAAGGAATCAAAAGGACTGAGGATACAGTTTAGTGCCTCCTGCATGTTGATAAAAAGATGTGTGCCCTGAAGCACTGTCCGGACAGCATGGAATACTGAGTGGGAGTCACTTTCTCCCGTGGGGTATGGTTGTCCTGGACTGGATCTGAGCTCTGCCAGGTGAGCTTGGTGTGGATCTGTAGAGGCAGAACTCTGAGCAGAGGGTGGGATTTGATAAAGAACTTGGACTTCTGCTGGAGCCACTCTTTCAAGCGGTGGGACACCTACCAGCAGGGGCTTCACCAGCTTCCCTGTGACCTCCCAGGGACCAGGATCATCTACGACCGAAAATTCCTAATGGAGTGTCGCAACTCCCCTGTGGCCAAAACACCCCCAAGGGACCTACCCACCATCCCCGGGGTCACCAGCCCTCCCAGTGATGAGCCCTCCGTGGAAGTCAGCCACAGCCACCTGCGCAGCAGTCCAGAAGACAAGCCGGCAAGTGGTGAGTAGAGGGACTGCCCTGTTCCCCAGGATTCTGGGGAGGAGGGGGTCCCAGTGACTCTCGTCCTCATAGGCCAGAAGGTGGAACCCTAAGTGGTACCAGCTTTCCTTCTGGGAGGGGCCCATGGACCACAGAGATGGCAATTTCATGCTATGAGGTAACATAAGTTAGTGGAGAGTTGATCAAAAATGTCAGTAGCAAGCAGAGTTTAACGGCAGCATTCAAGAGGCTGAGGCAGGAAGATGGACAGTTTAGGCCAGACTGGGCCACATAGGGAATTCAGGCTCAGCAAGGGCTGCACAGTGAGATCGTATAGATGGATTGGTAGAGACAGAGAGCGTCGAAGTGTTAGTGGCTCTGGCTAACTGCCCCTACATTATTGCTGCACACACACAGTGCTTGGAACATTCCCATGATGTTGTGGTACAGGAGATGCTTCATCAGAGACATGGCGTGCTTGCCCTCTAGGGTGTTACCTGACTACAAGATAGGAAGTACATCCGGAGGACTCCTGGCAGGGTGTGCTGCTTCAGCAGGGGGGGCAGGCAGAAACAGTGCGGCCTGTTGTCTCTGCAGCTTTGACCCTTGGTATCGAGGCCCTTCCTGGCGTCTGTCCCCACTCTCCAGTCACCAGCAGCCACCCTGGCCACGGTGCATGTGAACGTACTCTTTGTGCCGCCAGGCCTAGCTGGCCAGAGCCCTGAGGTTCCAGAGAGCCTGGGGCCAGAAGCTCTGCCACTGTGCCCAGAAGGCAGTGCCCAGGCCCCAACAGGAAGTCACTGGGCCTTGGGCTGGCAACCACCTCTGCAGGACCTGCAGGACAGGATACAGTGCCTTCAGAACCACCACACCCCAGAGGGGCAGGGGTGGATTTGTCTCAGTCTAGAGGACATGGCAAGGCAGGAGGTGAGCAGCAAGAGCAGGGTGGATTTGGGCACACGCCCAGCACAGGTGACAGGCAGGTCAGGCAGTGTGGTCACGGTTGATAGCCCAAGAATAGAGCTGGTGGGTAGTGACAGTTCTGCCATCTTCACTTTGCTTTCCTTGTTTGTAGGAAAAAGTCCTTCTCCTATCAGAGAAGGACTCGGGGGCTTTCACACTGAGCTACTTCCCCAGCTCTGTGTGTTTTTTGAGACAGTGTTTCACTAAGTCAATCAAATGCCGAGGCTGGGCTAGGGTTGAGGACCCTCCTGGATCATAGGCATTGCAGGTCGAGCCACGTGAGCCTCTGCCACTTCCACTTTTTACCTGAAATCAAAGCAAGAGGACACTGAGGATGGATCTGGTCAGCCCTGCAGCTGCTGAGTCACCATTACCCAAGGGTATCACTCCGTCCTGCCCGTGTGCAGGGTGCTGTCTGCCCCGGCCCATGGCAGATGCAGGCCCAGTCTGGCAGCCTGACATGCATGGCAGTGGACGCCACACCATGGCCCAGCAGGTGCACATGGTTGCTGAGCTAGGACCGAGGCAAGACTTAATTTAATTGTTTACTGGACACCAGAGGACAAGAGCCCTCAGATGCAGATTCGTGTGAACATGACTGCTGTTGCTGAGTATACTTCCCATATCTGGGACTGTTCTGCTCAGGAGACTAGTGAGGCAGTTTGACAGCATTTTTTTTTTTATTTTATTTTTTTGGTCTTTTTGAGACAGGGTTTCACTGTGCAGTTCAAACTGGCCTTGAGCTCACTTCTTTGTAGCCCAGGCTGGTCTCAAACTTGCTGCAGTCCTGAGCCTCAGCCTCCAGAGTGCTGAGACTACAGGTGTGTACCATAACTCCCAGCTGCATGAATTACATGGTAATGTTAGGGGGTTGCTGAATTATCCAGATACTTGCTTTCTTTACAGCAGGGTCAGGTGATTCTGCCAACTGGACATGTGCCTAGGAGGTTACTGTTTTCCAAACCAAACACTAGCACAAACGTTGAGCAGTTTTATTTATTACAGTACTGGGATTGAGGCCAGGACCTTCAAGGTTACATCCGCAGGCTCCTAACCCCCACACCTTTTTTTGAGATAAATGTTACCCAACCTGGGCTTGAACTTGGTGATTTCCTGCCTCAGCCTACCAGAATGCTAGGATTACAGGCTTGTACCACCATGTCTGACTAGAAGGTTTATATTGAAAGGATATTTTTTGATGCAGTCACTTTTTTGGGGGGGGAGGGAGGCACCAAGAATCAAACTCGCTATGCCACTGAGCCATATCCCCAACTGTAGTCGCTTTCATGTAAGACCACAAGTAGCTGCTCATCCAATTTGGTTTGGTTCAGTTCGGTTCAGTTCAGTTTTAAGATAGGATCTTGCTATGTATGTAAGTCAGACTGGCACAGTGATCCTCCTGCCTCATCCTCTCCATTACTGGGATTACAGGAAAGCACCACCATACCCAGCTATCACCCTTATTTAAAATAAAAATTACAGAAGATTCAAGACTGCTCCTCTTGCTGAGGAGGAAACCTAGTCTCTGCTGTTTGGCTTGGGGTTGAGAAGGAGCCAGAGCTAGGCTTGGAAGGCTGGGCCTGTGGCAGCCAGGCACTCCTAGCCTCCCCTGGCACATAAGTGGGGCCTTAGCATTCCCATGTGCCCATTGCTCAGTCTATCTGTCTGCTCCCTAGGTGAAGAGTCACAGTTTGAGATGGACATTTAAGGGACCAGCCATCCGACCAGCTTCCGAGCTACAAGGCCTTCTTGGGAGAGGACCGCACCAGCCTGCCTTTGGAATGATCCAGCCTCCCGGGCAGGTGTGGGCCACGGGGCTGGCCACGTCCCCCACTCAGGGCACCTGCCTGCACCTGCAATTACAGCACAGACCCCCTTCGTGCCTCTTTACTGTGGAGCCGCTACCCAGGGCCTCACCTGTGCCTGCAGCCAAGGACCACCAGCAGATGTAGACGCTCTCTGAGCAGTGCCCGGCTGCTCCAGCCCTGGCCTCTGGGGTCACTCCCTGCTTCCTTCAGTTGGGGAGTCTGGGAAAGCGTTCCTCTTCCCCAAGACAGGAAATAAAAGCCAGCCTCACCCTAGGGCCAAGCTGTGGGCTCTGTCTGAGCTCTTCTTAACTTGGGCATATCACTGGGCTGGGTGATCACTGTGCTGGCCACTGCCTACTCTTCAGGGTCGCTCTGTGCCGCCCTTCAAGTTTGCTGAGGCAGGCAGACGAGGCAGCCTCAGTGCCCACGGGACTGAGGCCCAGCCTGCGTCTCTTGCTGTTCACCAGCTTCTTGTGGGCTTTCTCCCTGACGCCCATACAGGTCCCCTTCCCCTCAACCCTGTCCTACCCAGGAAAGAGGGCAGGGCCACGCCCCTGCTGGTATGGTCTCCTGAGCCCGGGCTCCTGATCTTTGTCAAGGGATCCCTTTGTGCGAGTTGAGCTCTATGTGTTTGAGTTGAGCTCTATGTGTTTGATTGAAATGAAGGAATGTCCCTTAATAAAAGGAAATAAGGGTAGCATGGTGACACAGGCCTATAATCCCAGCACTCTGGGGCTGAGGCAGGCTAATCATCAGTTCAAGCCCAGCCAGGGTAACTGAACAATTTGGAGTCTGTCACAGAAATTATAAGAAATGGGCAGGGGGTTTAGCTCATCAGCCTAAGTGCCTGCTTAGCAAACTCAAGGTTGTGAGTTTGACCCCTCACCACCAAAAAAAAAATTACAAGAAGGGCTGGAGATACAGCTCAGTATAAAGGCCCCGGATTCAATCACCAGTACTGCAAAAAAAAAAAAAAAAAAAAAAAAACATGAAAGATGGTACAGAGCTGGGGATGTGGGTGTGTAGTTCAGCAGAGGAGCATTGCCTAGCAATGCACAGACCTGGGTTCAGTCCCTGGCAAAAACAAAACCATGTGGAACCAGGCAGCCGGGAGCAGGCTGTGGAAGTGGTGTCAGGCCCAGCAGGGAGCCTTTGGGGTGGGGGATGCTGAGAACAATGGGGAGAGGGGTGTCTAGCATTAGCTGTAGGGGTCTCAGAACCAGGTGTGTCAAGGAACCCACGTTAAGCTGGGCGAGGCAGTACACACTGGAACTCCAGCTAACCCAGAAACTGAGGCAGAGAACTGAGTTTGGGACCAGGCTGGACTGCCCAGTGAGATCCTAGCTGAAAGCAGCTATCCACTTCAGGTAGAACAGGTGGTTTTGTGAGTTGGGAGTAAGTGGCAGGCCCAAGTCTTGGCTGAGAAACAGCAGGTGTTTCTCCAAGGCTAGGGGGTAGACGGCCCCTCGGTCACAGCACTTGCCAGCCTACTCATGGGAGCCACAGGGCTTGGGTGACAGTCCTTTGCCTGGCCTCTCAGTTGTGTGGAGCCCCCTTTGCTCACTAGGGCGCCCGCTGGAGTCGCATCTGGTAGAAGGCCCAGCCTCTTCCTGGCCATGTGAAGGTGGGGGTGGAGTTATGGAACAATGACAAGATCCTCCAGCTAGCAAGACAGCCTTTCTTTAGCTTTTCAGCAAAGGAATTCTGATTTCTGACATCCCACAGACACAGCAATCTCACCAGTTCACTTTACTACACTGTAGATCAATTTAAGTTTTGTTTGTTTGGGGGTTTTTTTGGTACCTGGGATCGAACTCATAACCTCGTGCTTGCCAGACAGGCATTTATGCCACTGAGCTAAATCCCAGGCCCAAATTCAAGGATTTTTTAAAAATGGGCTTCTTTGGTATTTGGGGGACCACAATAAAATTGTCCAGATGGGGCTGGGGATTTAGCTCAGCGGCATAAGCTCCTGCTTTGCAAGCAGGCAGTCGTGAGTTCAATCCCTGGTATCCATAAAAAGGAAAAAGACAAAAATAAATAAATAAATAAATAAAATTGTCCAGAAGCATGCATTTTCCCTGTCAAGCAAAAGCATTCTCTGGAAGATCCAGGTTTTCCTTGAGCATCTGCTCTGGCTGGGTGCTGTAGAGTGACAAAGATGTACAACTCAGCTTTGTCCTGGAGCATGTGAAATCTGGTGGGACCACTGTGGCCCAGCTTAGCACACTGTGTGCTAGGCCTGGGTGCTTTAGAGATGCACATTTTAGGAGATCTTGGCTGGTATAGTAGCACATTCCTGTAATCCCAGCACTCAGGAGGCTGAGGCAGGAGGATTGTTAAAAGTTTGAGACCAGCCTGGGCTACAAAGTGAGCTCAAGGCCAGCCTATTGAAAAGAACCAACGGGAAAAAAAAATCCTAGTTTGCCCTTTCCTCTGTCACTCAAACTAAGCTACAGTATGTGTCCTCGCTAGAGCCTACAACCTAATTAATGGCACCGTGAGCAGTAAAGTGTCACTGGGCCTGCACAAGCCATCCCCATGTGACTGCTCAGAGGTAGTGTATAGTATATACCTATACTGTAAGGTATAGAAGATGTCTGAGGAGCCTTCCTGGAGATGACACCTGATGGGACTGGAAAAATTTGAGGTTGGAGGCCCACCTGCATCCTAACTGGCGCAGTCCTGGCTCAAGCGGGTTGGCTGGGGGGAGCTGAAGCTCCTGGTCCGACCTTGAGGGAGGTCAGGAAGGGAGCACTGGTTTAAGAATTATTCTTTGTGACTGGCATGGAGGTCACCAACCTTAGAGACTTCAGTGAACCGTGGAGCCAAGGAGCAGAACTTTGTGACTCACCAACCTCCAGGTAGCCAGACTGGGCCCAGTGGAGAAGCCCCACGCCAGTGCTGCTTAAAAACAGTGCTTGGGGAAGGGTGGGATCCATCAGTGGATTCAGCAAGTGATCTTTCACAGCTGAGTAGAAACCATTTTATTCACACTAGCATGGTGCTGAAGAATTACAAGGGAACTGGGAAACGGAAGCCTGAGAAAAAGTGAAATAACCAAAAGAAGCTTTGATTGGATGTAAATTGGAGCCCACAGGACAGGCCAGCAGAGCAAGGACAACCAGTACAGGCTGGAGCAGAAATACAGTAGGGAGAAAGGTGTGTGTGGACCCCATCAAATGTGGGGCAGGATGTGCTTGATTTCAGCAGCTTGGGGGGCAGATGGTAACGTTAGGTGGCCTGGAATTCCACTGTTGGAACTGTGCCTTGTAGCAGAGCTCATTACAATCTAGTCATGGTTCCCCAAATTTAAGAGGTATTTTTACTGTTTTACACTTGCTCATGGCTAGTGACTGTTCCAGTTCCTAATTCCAGAGCTCTGGGCCATGCAGACAGCTACAGTCACTAGCAGGCAGCTGTGGCTGATTCTCAGGCAAACCACAGGAAGAGAGATCTAGAGCCAGGCAGGCTTTCAGGCATCCGCTGGGTGCTCCGTGCTTCGGGGCCAACGCAATGAGAAGAAATGGAGGAAAGAGCCGCGCACAGTGGCACACCCCTGTGATCCCAGAATCGGGAGGCTGAGACAGAAGATTTGCCAAATTTAAGCCCAGCCTGGGCAATTTAACAGTTTAGTAAGACCCTGTGTGGGAACATTGAAAAGGCCTGGAGATGTAGCGCTGCATGAAGGCCCTGGGTTCAGTCGCCAGCAATGCTCTCTGCCCTTCTGGGAATGAGAAGTGATGCGCACGCCTGAGTTCCCTAATGTGTGTTGTACACTGATCTGCTCCTGGGTTCAGGGCAGTGGACAAACCCCTGCTTCAGGGAGCCAGGCTTGTGGTGGGTGCCACAGTCTTCAGGAACTAATGCCTTTATATCTTGTTCTTCTGCACTGGTTTTTATTGTCAAAGTCACAGACCTGCTTCCCCTGGGAATAACGCACAGGCTTTAGCATTGCCAGGCTCCCCACTCCCAGACAGAAAACACATCCCATCCGTGCAGAAACCACTGGTCCTGCGTGGAAAGCCCACCTCACAGCGAAGACAGCAGGCCTCTTGGTGTCCGGGAGCATAAGAGCCAAGCCCTTGCTCCCCTTCAGGAGGATAAGGAGGCCTTCCCACAGGTGAGCAGGAGGAAGGTGCCATCCCGAGATGAGGTTTTGTTGGAACTCACATACTCCCAAGTGAGGTTGCTACAGAATAGTGGGACCGAGCAGGTCTCATGGGCTACAGCAAAGAAAGGCATTTTGTAGCAGAGGAAACTGCAGTGCCCTAACCTGTCCCATAGGTTCTGGAGTGGAACTAAGAATTTGTTTTGTGTTTTGTCTTTCTGAGACAGAGCCTCGCTATGCAGTTCGGGCTGGCCTTGAACTCACTATGTAGCCCTGGCTGGCCTTGAACTCACGGTGATCCTCCTGTCTCAGCCTCCCAAATCTGGGGTTACAAACATGTTCCACCATACATGGCTGTTTCTTAATACTTGACTTCACTCTGCCCCCTGCTGGAGGTGACTTGAATGAAAGGAGGCATAGTACTTCTGGAAAGGGTTGTTTCATTTGGATTCCACTGGGAAGAAAAGATGCCACAAGTACTCAAAACTAAAGGAAGAATCCTCACTTATTTATGCTCTCTAGAATGGGCTCAGACTTGGGTTGGATTCACAAATATAGATGTAGCCACTCAAGCAACTCCCTAACTCTTGGAACACTTTCATCTTCTGAGCCCTTTAAAAACTACAAATACAGCTGGGCATGGTGGCATATTCCTGTAGTCCCAGCACTGGGGAGGCTGAGGCAGAATTGCTGGAAGGTTGAGGCCAGCCTGGCTTCATTGCAGCACCGTGCCTCAGAAAATAACAAATACTGTTTCTTGGCCTTTTGGCTAAGATCAAGTATAGTGTCAGAAAACAAGTAAGAACCACCCAGGAAGTCCACCCATACCTGTTTCCTCCTGAGCTTCAGCAAGGAACATCTAGCATCTGACACTACACAGCAGCACTGACACAGATTTTTATGGAGGCGTTACCGAGGATTGAACTCATGACCTGTCTGCCAGGCAGGTGCTTGTGCTGCTATATCCCAGCACTTTGGACACAAATTTTTAAAAATGTTTTAAGGATTTTTGTAAATCCACAAACTGTACACATTTGTGGGGTGCAACATGTGATCTACATCTCCAGTGTGGAGTGACTGAACATTCCAACTGCCTCAACTACTCATCATTTTTTTGCGGTGAGACCACTGGAAATTTCAGTGATTTTGAAATGCACCTTTTGTTTTCA